CCGTCGCATGTGACACACCCACCGCCACAGGGCGGGAGTATTTACGTCGTATTGCAATGGGGTCCTGGCCCAAAGCGCTCAGCAAAGCTAAGACCATCCAGGGAATGGGGAAGCAACAGGCACCTCAGTAGGTGCCAGCGGACCTCCATATTCATATCGCTACGCGATCAGGCAGAGTCTCCAGAGTCTCCTCCTCCTGCTGCTCCTCCTCCTCCTCCCTCCTCCTCCTCCTCCTCCTCCTCCTCCTCCTCCTCCTCCTCCCTCCTCCTCCTCCTCCTCTCTCCTCCTCCTCCTCCTCCTCCTCCTCCTCCACCTCCTCCTCCTCCTCCTCCTCCACCTCCTCCTCTTCCTCCTCCTCCTTTCCTTTCCTCCTCCTCCTCCTCCTCCTCCCTTTCCTCCTCCTCCTCCTCCTCCTCCTTCCTCCTCCTCTCCTGCCCTGCTCCTCCTGCTCCTCCTGCCCTCCTCCTCCTCCTCTCCTCCTCCCGTCCTCGTCCTCCTCCTCCTCCTCGTCCTCGTCCCTCGTCCTTCTCCTCCTCCTCCTCCTCCTCCTCCTCCTCCTCCTCCTCCTCTTCCCTCCACTCCTCCCTTCCTCCTCTCCTCCTCCTCCTCCTCCTCCTCTCCTCATCCTCCTCCCTCCTCCCCCTCCTCCACCTCCTCCTCCTCCTCCTCCTCCTCCGCTCCTCTCCTGTTCCTCCTCCTCCTCCTCCTGCTCCTCCTGCTCTCGCCCTGCTTCTCCTCCTCCCTCCTCCTCCATCCACCTCCTCATTCTGCTCCTCCTCCTCCTCCTCCCCCTCTCCTCCTCCCCTCCTCCTCCTCCGCCTCCTCCTCCTCCTCCTCCTCCTCCTCCCTCCACCTCTCCTCCTCCTCCCCTCTTCCATCTCCTCCTCCTCCTCCTCCTCCTTCCTCCTCCTATTCCTCCTATTCCTCCTCCTCCTCTCCTCCTCCTCCTCCTCCTCCTCCCCCTCTCCCTCCCTCCTCCTCCTCCTCCTCCTCCTCCTCCTCCTCCTCCTCCTCCTCCTCCTCCTCCTCCTCCTCATCATCATCATCATCATCATCATCATCATCATCATCATCATCGTCATCGTCATCATCATCATCATCGGGTCGCCTACGGCCCCGGGGGAAACCTTGCAGTTCCGGCCGCTGCCGCGGCGCGGGCGGGTGGCCACGCGCAGAGGGGGGGTATAGGGGGGAGGTGGGCTCCTTCTCAGACATGATCGCTTCGTTAAACAAGAATCAGGGCAGGAGGTGTTTGGCCACGTTCGGCCCCGGGGTGCCCTCGCTGGGCCTCGGGGCCGTCAGAAAACGACTCTGGGGAGAAAGGGGAAAGGGGAAAGGGTCGGGAGTTCCAGGGACGCCGTCCTAAAAAAATCAGAACGCCGCATCTCTGGGCCCCTACATCCCCATCCCCATCCCCCATCCAGGCCCCCACCATCCCACCACCCCAGTTCGGAGGGAGGAGAAGCGACACCAGGACCACCGGGGGGCCACCTCCAGCGAGGAGGTTCACGATGCCTCCCCGAGCTGCAGGCTGGGGATGTCTCGAGCTAGAGGGGGGGAGCACACCATCAGGGAGACCCCCTCTGCTCCTCGCCATCTCCTCGCCCTGGTGGTGTTGGTGTCGCCTTTCATAGATCCTACCCAGTTGTGGAAAGAGAGCCCTCGAAACCCGAGGGGGAACGGCCCCTGATTATCCATTATCCCCATCTCTGCGGGGGTATAGATCGGCCCGTGGGGCCCGGGCCCCGCCCAGGGCGATAGGGGTCGGTGAGATGAGGCTCAGGCGCATCGCCGCTTTTTCGCCGATCGGCGTTCATGCTATTCCCTTTGGATTCGCCGATCGCATCTTTGTTCGCCGATTGGCGTTTTGTCGCCGTCTATGTTCTACTTGTTTTGCCGATCGGCGCAGGCCCCCGCCCCCCTTCCCCTCTCACCTCCGGCGATCGCAAACATGGATGAAGGGGGCGTACCGACGGGTCCGTTGCCATGGGAAATCGCCGGTTCCCCCGCCGATCGAGGCGGCATTGGCAGCATTTTGGGGAGGCCACCTCCCCCGATCCATGGATTTGGCGACCGCGCGCCAAATCCATGGATCGCGAATCCATGGTTGCGCGCCCCCCCCTCTCGCCAGATCTTGGCTGCTCTCGGCGACTGGTCAGGACCCTCCCCCCCGCTATCCCCCGTTGCCTGCCTGCGGGACTGGCAGATGCAGGGCGACGAAGCACAGGCCCAGGCTCAGAACGCAAATCCATAGCAAGAAAACGCTTCGTCTAACCTGAAGTCGGGCCCGTCCCTCTACAGGAGTAATATTCGAAAATAGTCAAACAATGGTCGGGGGACGATGTCCAAACATTATGTTTTGACCCGTTTGGAGCATTTGTGGGCTGATTGTTTTGATTTGTCGTCCACAACCCCCCCGGAGGGGGACACGCCCGACCTAAGAGAGAGCGCGCCCGTGGGGAACTCGTAAAGGGGGGGGGTCCCCCCTTAGCTACCCCCCCCCCTTGGACCCGCCCTGCCGGTAGCTACCCCCCCCCTCCCCCGCTTTTTCGTCCCCCCCCTGAAGCTACCCCCCCCCCCTTTGGCCGCTCCAGAAGTTACCCCCCCATCCCCCCCTTTCCAAAGGGGGGGGCTCTTACCGCTCCAGAAGCTACCCCACGGGCGCGCTCTTACCGACCTAAGCCCAGACCCAGAACGCAAACCCAGAACAAGAGAACACTCAGTCAAAACAATCGGTCCGCACTCCGCGCGCGTACTCGTCTAAGCGAGCACCACCCCACGACGCGCCGGCACCCGCCTCTTCGTCCGCTTCGAACGCACATCGAATCGAACGCCCCCGCTGGTACCCAGGGGGGCTCCTCATCCTCCTTCTCCTCCTCCTCCTCCTCCTCCTCCTCCTTCTCCTCCTTCTCCTCCTCCCCCCCCTTCTCCCCCTCCTCCTCCTCCTCCTCCTCCTCCTCCTCCTCCTTCTCCTCCTCCTCCTGCTCTCTTCAACTCCTGGGGGGTAGAAGCCCCAAGCCCTGAGAGACTTGACGTTGAGCGGTCCAGCGGCGGGAAGGCGAGCTCGGAAGGCGCGCGCGGCCAGGGCCGCGGGGCTCGCGCGAGGGGTGTTGGTGCTGACGGGTGTCGGCCGATGCCGTCTGGCTTCGCCCCTGTCTGGGAGCCACGCGGGGCCGCTTCCGCCCCGTCTGCCCTCCATTGACCTGGAAGCTTACAGTCATGACGCTGAAATAAGGAACAGTTTGGGTTCGGAAGGGGCTCGATGTTCCTTAGGTTCCTCTAGTGCTGTTCTTCTTGCCCTCCTGCGGCACGGAGGCGCTTCCAGGGCCAAGAAGGGGCTCCGTTCCTTATTTACTGGTCCTTCTTTCAGCAGCCCGACTGTATGGGGTTCCAGCCTACTTTAGCCTCGATCACCCGGAAGAGCTTCGAGCACTAAGAAACTACCGAAGCTGGAGGGTTTCCGCGCGTCGGGCCCCGGGAGGCGATACTCCTTCGACACTTATTCGATATACTTCTCTGGGTGCTCGAGATTATTGCTTGGATGTGGTCCTCAAGTACGATGGGAGCACCATAGCTGGAAGCGGCTGACCTGGCTTCGCGAAAATGCCCTGGCCGACCCCGGTTTGGGCTGACCCTGGCTATAGTGCACGCCCGATAACTGATTCCCACTCCCACCCCATACATGCTCGCGTCGTAAGAATACGCCGAGCGGTTTGGGGCAAGTGTTGGCTTCTAGGGGCCGTCGCCGAGCCCCGGGACCGCCAGGGAATGGGTCGGGACTTCCAGGGGCCCCGCATTGAACAAATCAGGACATCGCACGTCTGAGCCTGGGCCATGGCTCAGGAGAGGGCCAGGTGAGGCAACAGTGGTTGGCCTTCGAGGGGCCGCCTCGTCGCCACGGCTGGACGCAGCTTGGAAAACATGTGCGCTCGGGCCCAGGGGGGGGTGCGGGGACCGATTTTGAGCTGCCGTTGTCTCAAATCGCCCTGCTCCGGGCCGTGGCAGGCGAGCGCGGCCGACCCCCTCGGCGACGGAAGTTGGCGGCGAGCTCAGGGGGGTCGTCGTCGTCGGCGTCGGCATCGTCGTCGTCGTCGGCGTCGTCGTCGTCGTCGTCGTCGTCGTCGTCGTCGGCGTCGGCGTCGGCGTCGGCATCGGCGTTGGCGTCGTCGTCGTCGGCGTCGGCGTCGTCGTCGGCGTCGTCGTCGTCGGTGTCGGCGTCGTCGTCGTCGGCGTCGGCGTCGGCGATTCTGAGCTGACGTTGTCTCAAATCGCCCTGCTCCAACTGGTATCTCCGCCCCACCAGCCCACCCTCCCAAGGTGGGGATAGGCCCCGCGGAGCCCGAAGGAGCAGGCATACATCCCCACCCAGGTGGGTACGCCACCCAGGTGGGCAAGTCGGCCAGTGGGACCGAGGCCACGCTGTTTCCTCCTCCTCCTCCTCCTCCTCCTCCTCGTCCGCCTCCTCCTCCTCCTCCCCTACTCCTCTTTCCCCCTCCTCCTTCTCCTCCTCCTCCTCCTCCTCCTCCTCCTCGTCCTCCTCCATCTCCTCCTCGTCCTCCTTCTCCCCCTCCTCCTGCTCCTCCTGCTCCTCTGTCTCTTCTGGATGGTCGGCGGCTAAGTCTGAACCCTACCCTCGCCGATCAACGGTTCAGGCAGCTCGATGGGCTGCGGGGATAGGGTTCGGAATTCGTCGAGCACGTGTCGAAATCCGAACTCGACCCTCGCCCCCCATCGACCCTGGAAAATCGATGGTTGGTGAGGGTAGGGTTTGGACCTCGCCACCTAGATGGGGATCGGTCAAACCCCGCCATGTGATGTCTTGATGTGTTCAGTACGGGGTCCCCAGAAGTACCCATCCACTCCCGGGGACCAGGTTTTCATGCTCAGTCGTATTCTGACGGTCCCCGGCCCCGGCCAGGGCCTCCCCGAGGCCAGAAAACGGCCGAACATAATTGCTCGCCATGATTTACGATGCGAGCACGTCTGGGATCGATGCCCAGGAGCTCGGGGAGTGCATCAGCCGCGGGGAGTTCGCCGCGGTGCACCGCGGCCTGCTGCGGAGAGACGCGGGCGGGGCCCGCGCTGTGGTGGTCAAGGCGCTGCGCGGGGGCGGCGCGGGGGACGGCGGGGGGCGGGCGGCGGCGGAGCTGCTCGCGGAGATCAGGATGCAGTGCGATTGAACCAGGTACAGTCGGGCCGCTGAATAAGGAACCCCTCTCGTTGGGGAGGGGCTCAGTGTTGCTTAATTGTGTTGTTTTTGTTCTAGATGTTCCTTTGGTTTTCCATGGGCAATCGAGATTCAACTTGTGGAAAAAGGGGCCTCGTTCCTTATTTAGGGTTCCTTGTGGCAGCAGTTCGACTGCACGGAAAGAATGTCGGAGGAGGAAGGGGTACCCATACCTCTACCCCTTGCTCCGCTCCCCCCTTTGGGGCCTCCGCGGAAGCCCTCGTCGCCAGCGCCGGGTTCGCCTCGGAATTCTGGTCAGGACGCACCCCGGGAGAGGTCCGGGGAGCAGCAGTATTGTCGGATGTTGCTAGAGATGCCCCTGGCCCAAGGTGCCCCCAGGATTCTCGGGGAGGCCCAGGCGGCCTCCAGAGCACCCAATCACGAGGCCCAGAGAGCCCCATGGGGCTCCAAAGTCGAGGGAAAAGCTGGGGGCACCCTGGGTCAGGGGCACTTCTAGCAACACCCGATATTGGTACCTTTTGGTTTCCTGTCCATCGGGGGGGCAAACTCGGCTACGCGCAGAGGGGTGGTGGTGGTAGGGGGAGGGGGGAAGGCTTCTCAGAAGCAACCCCCGCTTCTTAGAAGGCGCGGGCCCTGTCTGCAGATGTGAGGCCTGCGCCTTCTAGGAAGCAAAACATGCTTCTAAGAAGCCTTCCTTGCTCCCCTCTCCCCGGACCACAGTGTGCGCGCCGCCAACAAACGGTGTGGTGAGCACACCGTGCGGTGAGTCGGTGGGGATTCGGGGTCACCGCACGGTTTTGGGACTCGGGTCGTGCCCCGAGGATGCCTCAGGCGATTGGGGCCTCCAGAGCCGTGTGGTGACGGACCCTGCGGTGAGGTCTCCGCGGATTTCGAGGCCCACGCCGGGTTTGTCACCACACGGTTGTGGGACCCCCAAGTACAGGTTGACCGGGGTTCGGTGTCGGCGTTGCCGCAGTCGTTGTCTATTTGAGACGGGAGGCCGCCCGCCTATCAGCGGCCGCTGTCGGTTATGGACAACACTTGTTGTCTGAGCATGGTGCCCATCCTTTGTTGTCCGTACCCACTTCGGGCGTCCAAGAGGATCATGAGCGAGCTCGATCTCGAAGAGCAAAAACGGCGTAAGCACAAGATGTCGGAGCTCCGCGCGGACTTCTTGGATCGGCGCCGGGCCCCCCTCCCTGGCTCGCGGAAAGCGCGCCACGGCCGGCGCTGGGGGGGTCCGGCGCCCATCCACGAGACCCGTGCGGACCTCCGACAGTTTGTGTTTGTACCGGCTCTGCTGCCTCGACGATCACCCGTCCATCGTGCCCTTCGTCGGCGCCTGCCTTGAGGCGGACCAGGTGAGCGACGGAAGAAAACGCGGTCGACTGCGCGGAAATTCGCGCGAGAGTCACCTGCGCGAGACATGCATGAGCGCCCTCGTCTCCACGAAGGGCGGCGGAAGGCGGCGGAAGTGAAGACGCGGCCGCTCCCGCCGGCGGAAGCTTGGCGGAAGCCAGCGGAAGCAAGCGTCGACCTCACCAGAGGTGGCATCATTCTGGGGGCCCAGGTCTTCCGAAACGAGCTGGCCACGCGCAGAAGGGGGTAGGGGGAGGGGGGAAGGCTTCTTAGAAGCACCCCCGCTTCTTAGAAGGCGCGGGCCTTCTTTGTAGATGCAAGGCCGGCGCCTTCAAGAAGCAGCCTCCTTCTAAGAAGCCCTCCCCCCTCCCCTTACCCCCCTGTGCGCGCCGCCAAACGAGTGGCACGCGTGCCCTGGCTCTTGCACAGTCAGACAGCGAAGGGCGGGGGGAGGAGGACGCGCCACGAACCACCGACACAAAGGGCTCCGCGACCGAAGGGAGCTGCCCTGGCAGGCCCCGGGGAGCCAGGAAGCCAAGGGTGGAGGCCAGGGCAAGAGGACGAAGCAGGGGAGGAGGACGCACCACGCACCACGAGAAAATAGAGAGGCCCGAGCTCCAGAACACAGCTGTGCAAGAGAGTCATGCCATCGTGTCCAAGGCCCCTACCTTCTCTGGGGAGAGCAAGAGCGCTACTCCCCGGACCTCTCCCGGGGTGCGTTCTGACCAGGATTTCGGGGCGAATCCAGCGGTGGCGACGAGGGCCGCCCAGGAGGCCCAAAAATGGGAAAACGAGCGAAGGGTAGAGGTATGTGTACCTTCTCCTCCTCTGATTCTCGTCGCCCAGGTGGCCCTGGTGACGGAGCTCGCCCCCGGCGGCAACCTGCACCGGGCGCTCCACGTGCAGGGGCGCCGGCTGGCACGCTGGGAGCGGCTGCAGCTGTCCTTGGACTTGCTGGAGGGCGTGGCGCACCTGCACAGCAGGCGGCCGCCAGTGGTCCCGAGGGCCCCGAATCAGCAGGGCTGGGGGCGGTTAGGGATGGCCACAGATTCGCGCCTCGGGGGCCCACACCAGAGCTACCCGGACCGCGGTTATCCTGGATCACTCGGGCGTCCAACCCTCCCGACTCATCAGGGCTGGTGGCAGTCAGGGGTAATTGCAGAGTCTCGCCTCGGAGGCCCAAACCGGAGTTACCCCAGACCGCAGGTACCCCAGACCGCAGTTATCCCGGATAGTTCTGGCATCTAAGGTCCACCTGGACCTCAAGTCCATGAACCTTGTGCTCGATGCCGGGGGACAGCGGCTCCTGCTGTGCGACTTCGGGCTCGCGCAGAAGCTCGGCGTGCGCGGCGGCCAGGCGGGCGTCGCCGCGAAGCCCTGCGCCGGGGGCTCGCCGAGGTACATGGCGCCAGAGTGCTACGACAGCAGCCTCGGCCCCACGACCGAGAAGGCCGACGTGTGGTCCTCGGCCTGCGTCCTCACGGAGATCTTCGGGGGCGGCCTGCCGTACGCCGAGTGCAGCAACGTACAGCAGATCCTGAAGACGATGCTGGTCCACCGCCAGGCAGGACCAAAGAAAGGCGCTACCAACTCCACCAGGGCGAGGAGACGCGAAGAGCAAGGGGGGTCTTCCTGGTGGTGCGGTCCCCCACTCTCGCTCGAGACATCCCCAGCCTCCAGCTCGGGGAGGCGTCGTGGACCTCCTCGCTGGAGGTGGCCCCCCCAGTGGTGTTGGTGCAGGTGATGGGCCGATTTTCCAATACCACCACTACCCTAGGTAAATCAGGGGAGAAGGGAGGATGGGCAGGTCCTATTCCTCCTCCTCCTCCTCCTCCTCCTCCTCCTCCTCCTCCCCTTCCTCCTCCTCCTCCTCCTCATCATCATCATCCTCATCATCCTTCTTCTCCTCCTCCTCCTCCTCCTCCTCCTCCTCCTCCTCCTCCTCCTCCTCG